AACCCGAGAACAAAACAAAAAAACCCTTAGGGCTGTGATCTTTAACTTGTTATCTTTTTTTTACACACACACACACTTATGTAGGTGTTTTACACACTTATGTAGGTGTTTTACACACACACTTATGTAGGTGTTTTACACACACTCTTATGTAGATGTTTTACACACTTATGTAGGTGTTTTACACACTCTTATGTAGGTGTTTTACACACTTATGTAGGTGTTTTACACACTCTCTTATGTAGATGTTTTACACACTTATGTAGGTGTTTTACACACACTCTTATGTAGGTGTTTTACACACTTATGTAGGTGTTTTACACACACTCTTATGTAGGTGTTTTACACACTTATGTAGGTGTTTTACACACTTATGTAGGTGTTTGTTTTAAAAGTAGATTTCTGCTATTGTGTTTTGTTCTTCACAAAATTTTAGAAAGCTTTTCACATCAGTACATATGAACACATCCCATTCTTTTTTTTTTAAATTGGGGTATAGATATTTTATTAATTTACCATCTTAACTCCACTTTGAGTTAATTTTTGTAAATGGTGTGAAGTAGGGGTCCAAATTCATTCTTTTGCTTGTGAAAATTCACTTGTCCCAGCAACATTTGTTGAAGTCACTCTTCTTTTCCCATTGAATTGTTGACCTCTTTGTTTTAAAAAATGATAATAAAATATATGGGTTTATTTTCAAAATCTCAAATATATTCTGTTGATCTATATGTCTGTCCTTATGCTGGTGCCACTCTGTCTTGATTATCCTTTTTTTTTTTTTTTTTTTTTGTGGCCTCTCCCGTTGCAGAGCACAGGCTCTGGACGCACAGGCTCAGCGGCCATGGCTCACGGGCCCAGCCACTCCACAGCATGTGGGATCTTCCCAGACCGGGTCACAAACCCGCATCCCCTGAATCGGCAGGCGGACTCTCAACCACTGCACCACCAGGGAAGCCCTTATCCTATCTTTGTAGTGAGTGTTGAAATAAAAAATTGTGAGTCCTAAAATTTTGTTCTCCTTTTTCTACATCGTTTTGGCTAATCTGGGTCTCACGTGTTTCCATATGAATTTTAAACTTGTCAATTTCTGCAAAAAAAAAAAAAAGTCAGCTAAGATTTTGATAGGGACTGTGTTGAATCTGTAGGTCAATCTGGGGAGTACTGCTGTCTTCACAATGTTAAGTCCTCTCATTCATGCACATGGGATATTTTTGCATTTATCTAGTTAGTGCTTCTTCAACTTATTTCAACAACATTTGGTACTTTTCAGTGTGTACATCTTACACTTTTTTTGCTGTTAAATTTGTGCAGGTTTTTGGGGGGAGCTGTTATAAATGGATTGTTTCTCTTTGTTTTATTTTCAGCTTGCTTGTTGCTAGTGTACAGAAATACAGTTGTTTTGTGTGTTAATTTTGTATCCTGCAAACTTGCCAAACCTGTTATTAGTTCCAATAGTGTTTGTAGTGGCTTCTTTGGGATTTTCTATACACAAGATCATGCCATCTGTAAACAGAGAGAGTCTTACTTTTGCATTTACCTGTTTGTTTATCCTCTCGGTCTGTTCATTCGTTCTTGCGTGTCTGCACTTCCACCTGAGAGTATTCCCTTCAGCCTGAAGAATTCCCTTTAGTACTAACTGTAGAGCATGTGTCTGGGACTAAATCTCTCAGATTTTGATCGTCTGAGAACATCTTCACTTAACCTTCATTTCTGAAGAACATTTCTACTGGATAAAGAATTTTAGTTTGCAGTGTTTTCCCCACCCTTTAAAGATGTCGTTCCATTGTCTTTGGGCTCCGTTGTTTCAGTTGAGAAATCATGTGCCTGTTTTATTATTTTCCCCTGAAAAAAACATGGTTTTCTTTCTCGCTGCTTTTAAGATTTCTCTCTGTCTTTAATACAGCAGAGCTATGCTGCACAATGATTTTCCTAGTTTTTAAATCCTGTTTGGAGCTCACTGAGCTTTTTGAACCTTTGAACTGATTTATTTCATCAGATTTGGAAATTCTTGAACATTCTTGTTCAAAGATTGCTTCTTTCCCACTCTCTCCTGGTTCTCAGATTACAGTCTATTGGGCCTTTGACCATGACCCCATCCTTCTTGTACCCTGCTCTGTTCTTGCCATTCTTTTTGCTCTGAACTTCGCTTTTTCTACTGGTCTCTCCTTAAGCTCAGCATCCTGTCTTCTGTTGAGTCTAGTCTACTGTTAAACACGTCCAGTGAGCTCTTAATTTCATGTGCTGTGCTTTGCTCTTTTATTTCTTATTTTGGGCTGCACCACGCGGGATCTTATTAATTCCCAACCAAGGATCGAACTAGCACCCCCTGCAGCGGAAGCGTGGAGTCTTAACCACCGACCGCCAGGGAAGCCTCCGCTTTGCTACCTTAGCACGTGCATTTGATTCCTTTTCATAGATTCTAATTCTCTCTCAAAATAGTCCAGTTGTTCATCGGACCGTTTTGTCCATTCTTTACCCTTTTTTTCTCTTTTAACTTAATAACCATCATTATTTTGCGCCTTTTCTGCTAATAGCTCCACTGTGTGGTTCACCTCTGGGTCTCTGTTGACTCTGTCACCCTCCTGTACAGTGTTGAGCTTTGTTTTGGCAGGTGGTCCAGTTACTGGCAGGTCACCTGGATGGGCCTGAGCTTGGTTTCAGGTGTCAGCTCTGCGCTCATCCCGCAGGTGCAAAGTCCTCACCCCTGTGCTATCGCCCAGGAGGCTCAGCTGGGAAGCCAGAGGGGCCGACAGGCTCCCTCCTCCCTGTGTGGCTGGAGCTCCAGCACTGTGCTTCCTGAGTCTCTGTTAGCCATCAGCCTGCAGCAGCCGCCTCTGGGCGTGAACGAGTCAGCAGCTCCAAGGACCCCCGGATCTCCTCACAGACCTGTGTCTCCGTCCTCTCCACATAGCAGCCCTCAAGCCCAAGGCCCCTTAGCAGCCCCGGATTCTGACCTCCCTCTGGGCTCTGTGGCCCTGCCCTGCAGTTTGGAAACGCCATGAGGGAGAGAGATGAAAGGAATGCTTCCCTCCTCTCGAGGGCCTTAGCCCGGCATCCACTGCTTCCTGTGCTTTGCCCAGCTTTTACAGTCTCTATGGCAGGGAGCTAAGGCTGATGTGACTCACACTCAGAGTCCTTCGAGACGCACATAGACTCCTGAGGAGTTTGGGGCTCACTCTGCAGGGATGGGGGCCACAGAGGAGCCAGAGGGCAGACCCCAGCCCCTCTCCAGGGCTCAGCTTCCCCCGTGGTCCAATGCAGGGCTGTCCTGAAAGCTCTCCTGAGCCCTCCCACCCCAGCAAGGACCAGGGAGGGCCTGGGAAGGAGACACAGAGGAGCAGGGCAAGCGGCCGGTGCCCAGATCCTACTGCCCACCGGGAGCCTGGGCATCCCGTACCTGTGGGCCAGGTACGTCGGGTAGCTGGGGAGCCCCAGGCTCAGCGTTCGTTCAGTGACCTTGCCCCACGAGCCCTGAGGGCGTGGTGTCCCATGGCGTGGAACAAATGAAGCCCCAAAGTCCTGCTGGGGGCCTCACCCTTCAGTGAGCACCCCATGGAACCACTAACCACAGGCCAGTGTAATACCCACCCATCGCAGGAGGCCAAAGCCTCAGGCCGCCTGAAAACTCAGAAGCCACCTTCCGCTCATTCGTCCCACCTCCAGCGTTAAAGCTTTTGTCAAGGGGTGACATTTGTAATCACAACTGTGTTTTTATAGAATTTAACAGCTGAAGAAGTCCTTTTGCATGCAGTATGTCGGTTACAACAGTTGGCATCACTTAGACCCCCTCGGTCTCCCGCACGCTCCACCCTCCTTTCCCACGGCTTCCTCTGTTCCCCAGGAACAGGCTCTGCCATCAGAGGAACCAATCCTGAATTTTACGTTAATCACATTCTTGTGTTGTGGGTTTTTTAAAATCATTTTTGCCCCCATTTCACGTCACCAAACAACACAGCTTGGTTTTGTCTCTTTGAACCTGATGGAAGGTCTCAGTGTCACTCCTCCTGACGTAGCGTTCGCGAGGCCCGCCTGCGTCGCTGGTGCAGCTGCCGCTTGGCCACTGTCCTTGCTGTGGAGAAGCCACTATCTTCCTCTCTGTCCTTGTGTGGACAGACATTTGGCTTCTTCCCAGTTTGGGGTGATTATGAAGATGGGCTGCTGTGCACCTGTGCCGGGCCCTCACGGGGCTGTCTCCTGAGGGTAGGGTCGCTGGCGGGGTGCAGGGCCACACCAGTCCCCAGGCACGTTGCACCGCCGGCAGCGGGAACTCCTCTCAGCACTTGGTGGTGTCAGTTCTTACAACCCGGTGGGTGTACAGTGGTGTCTCGCTGCAGTTTTGTTTTTTTTTTTTTTTTCGCTGCAGTTTTAACTCGCCTTTTCCCTGATTCCTAAAGAGATGGCGCATTTTTTGCGTGTTTATGGGCTCCTCGTGTTTCCAGTGCTGCGAGCGGTCTTTTGCGCCTTCTGCTATCAGGCCGCCCACCGATAGCAATGCTGGGCGCATTTTCTCATCAGTGCTGGTGCTTGTATCCTGGACGTTTCCTCGTCGCTTCCATGCACGCAAACCCCTTCCGCTGTCGGCCTGGCTGTCCCAGCATCACGGTGTCCTGGTCGGTTTTGACCACACGGCTTTCCCTCCACCTTGTGTTCTGTTTCCTGTCCTTCAGGCATGAAGTGAGCCCCTGCCGCCCTTGCGGCCCGCCCTCCCCGGCCCACAGCCGGCTGCGCTCCCTTCCAGAGCTGCCTTAAGAGTTGGCAGACATACACACCGTGGGATTGGGGCCAAGACCCCTCCCTTTCCAGGTTCAGATCCACTTGACAGCCTGGTGCGGGGAGGGGCTGCAAAGCTGCCCTGTACGACGGAAACGGTGTGGCTCACAGGTGCGGTCACATGACTTTGCCAAACCTTCTTCCAGAACTGGGCTGCATCCTCCTCGGGCGCGGGGACCACGCTGCCTGAAGCCACACGCTGCCCAAAGGGCCCTCAGCCTTCAGTCCAGATGGCGGCCCTCAGCTTTCAGCACATGTCACAGCCAGCTGGGGACGCCCATGCCTGTCCCCTGGGCTTCTGGCCTTTCGGGGACCCCGATGGCTGTGATATGGTAGCGAGGGCTGAGAGCCACTGAAGAGGACAGTTTGGGAAAGCAGGTGCACTCAGCAGAGACGCCAGTCCCTGGGACAGAGACGCCGGGCCCCGAGCAGAGAGGCTGGGCCCTGGAACTGAAAGTCCCCGGCTCCGGCTCCAGGAGAGCCTGGCACGCGCCTGCACACAGACACACGGCCAGGCCCGCCCTTGTGTGCACACCTCTGTTGTACGTGCATAACATACACAGATGCCCAGTGGCTTGTCGAAGGCGCAGATGGGCGTTCGTTACCTGCAGAGTTTCTTGCCCATGGACGTCAGGACAGCCAGGTGGCGGCCTCGCAGGGACTGTCGCTGTTTGGCTGGCTTCCAAACAGGAGCGGGGCCCCCCCTGCCGGCTTCCACAGGTCCACAGAAGCCAGGCCCACAAAAGCAAGTTGCCTTTTATCAAATAGGTTTCAAACGGCGCTGGTGAGCTGTTACCATGGCTACAGAAATGCCTCTTTTCCTTAGAGTGTGAATGCACACACACGTGCACCCACAAAACACGCACGCACACGTGTGCACACACGTGCATAAAGATGACCGCACATGCCACACGCGCACACGTGTACACGCATGCGTGCACCCCAGGCTCTCACGGAGCCCCCCGTCCCGGCAGCGTGACGTCCAGGACGAGGACAGCGTGGTGCGCTACCACCTCTTCAGCGCCCCTTGGGCTGTGCTCCGCTATTACGCGGAGGACCTGCATCTGAAGCTGCCCCTGCAGGTACCCAGGGCATGTGGGGGGCAGAGAGGGCCTGGAGGCCCCCCACAGCCAGGATCGCTCTTGATGGCCCTCCAGTTCCCGGGGGCAGCCACCAGTGCTGACAATCCTGGGGGCTCCCCACTCCGTGTCCCCGAGGGTCCCTGCCAGCACCCCCACCCCACCCCCGCCAATTCCACGGTGCTCCTGGAAGCCTTGTGGCCAAGTCGGGTGAGGGGTGGTGCCCCATGGTGGGCTCAGGGGAGGGGCGGGCAGTGCGCACAGAGGCCAAGGCTCTGAGCGGGCCACCTGGGCCCCCCTCCAGGCAGGGGCACAGGGCGGAGAGGCAGCGGCTCCCAGGTGACCTCAGAGCTGACCAGCAGAGCAGCCCTGGAGCCAGAGGCCCTGAGAGGGAAAGGGGCTTGCCTGGTGTTTCTGCAGGGCCCACAGCAGAGCCAGGGAGGGCGGGAGCCAGGGTGCCCGGTTTGCAAACCCACACGCCCACACCCCACCACCTGGTGTCCGCGTCCCCTCAGGACAGGGAGGGGCAACTGACAATTCCTTCCAGGAGTTGCCCAACCAGGCCTCCAACTGGGCAGCCAGCCTGCTGGAGTGGCTGGAGTTCCCCAACATCCTGCTGGAGGACGTGCCCGACGTGCCCCACAAGTCTTACTCCTGCCAGTTCAAAGTGAGCAATCTGTCCAGGTAAGATGGCCCCACCACTCCGCCCGACAGCCTCACACAGGGCCCTGGGATGGATGAAAGAATCAACGAATGAGTGAACCAAAACCTGCTGCTCTTCCCCTAAACTCTCTCCTTCCCAGAGCTTTTCAACCAGGGCCTGGGAGTCTCAGGTGGGTGAGCTTTCGTGCATGTCTGCATTATCTACACGTCGCCTGTATCAGTCAGATAGGCAGGTTGTGCTGCGGAACGAGCATCCCCCAAACCTCAGTGGCTGGACGTGAAGGTCCACTTCCTGCTCAGCTCCATGTCCGTGGCGGGTGGGCACGGTGTCCTGGGGCCCAGGTGGGAGTGCAGGCTCCATCCCACACAGAAAATGCAAGCGGTCAGTCCACACTGGCTCCTGGATCCCTTCTCCCATTCACATTTTACTGCCCAAAGCAGGTCACAGAGCCACACACCCAGCAGGCAGTTTAGGGCAGCGTCCAGGCCTGGGGGGACCCGTGTGGGTGGCCAGCACCGGAAACCCCCATGCTGAGGACACCTCCTTCCCGGGCTGGTGGGAGGATTCAGCCTCACCCACACGTGTCCCCACACAGGGAATCCCCAAGGTCCTGGTGTCCCAGGGAGGGCCCTCTGGTCAACCACCTGTCCACACAGGCTACCACCAGACACCGCCCAGAGGCCTTTGGTCCTGAGTTCGGAACTTCAGGGGATGCAGATGTCTGTGGGCTCCTCTGCCCAAGTGCAGTCCACTCTTCCCTACCCTGGGGGGATTTCCGTGATGTCCTGCCATACCCTCAGGAAAGGAAAAGGCCCACACGGGAGCTGCCCATGCCGCCCGGTGGCAGTGGTCGCTCTCTGAGGCCTGGCTGAGGTGCAGGCACCTGAGTTCTGACTCTGAGCCCACAGGTTCCTCGGGAGTGAGAACCAGGCCACCTTCTTCCCCATCACCTACAGGCACCAGATTGTGAGTGGGGTCCTGACCCAGCTCTGAGAGGCCTGCGGCCCCAGACGTCCCGGCCCCCAGTGGGCAGCAGAGGCCTCTGCGGACACAGGAAGGTTCGCCTTTGTCCTGTCCAGAGGGATGAGGTCCCGGGGCTGGGGGCCCCGGGGGGGTGAGGGGATGGATGCTTGGAGGCTGCCCCCACCTCACTGCACAAGGGGAGCACAGCTGGGGCCCCGAATGGGTATCACCTTCAAGAACCTGTGGGACTTGCCAAGACCACGGGGACTGGGGAGGTGTGAGTCCAGTTGGTCAGTGAGGACGGGAACCACGGGCAGAGCCGACCAGAGGCTGAGCGTCCCTGAGAAGCATGGGCAGTGCCTGGCCTATGGTGAGGGAGGGCCTGGGACAGGCCTGCCCAGGAGAACCGGCTGGTGACAACCGAAGGGCACCGGCCACGCGGGCTGCCCAGCAGGGGCTGGGCCGCCCCCGACACAGGCCTCCAGGTGGAGGCTGACTCCTGCCCAGAGTGAGGACCCAGGGCGGGCTGCGCTTAGCTAGGGCATGGGTTCAAATCCAGACTCGACTCCCATGAGCCGAGCGTCCCAGCCAAGGTCTCCCATCTACCAAGCGTGAGAACGATCACCACCCTTGGGGGTTGTGTGAGCCGGTGACATGAGGAAGAGCTGGGTGTACCCTTGCCATTGTCGCCAGGAGCCTCGGGAGGCTGTCTGTGGGCTCAGCCCCAAGACGGGAGGGCCCGGGTGTCCCCGCCCCCCTGTCACATGACAGGTGACCAGTGCCATCCCTGCCACCCCCAGCTGTTCGAGGTCCTGGCCAAGACCCCGTACGGCCACGAGAGGAAGCGCCTGTTTGGGATCGACCAGCCGCTGGGGGAGGGGGTCTTCAGCGCAGCCTTCCCCCAGCACGACGTGATTCCAGGGGCTTCAGGGGCGGGGCAGGGTGGTCGGGCTGCCACCAGAGGGTGAGTTTCTGGATGAGGGGGACCCCAGGTCCTGCCCTGGGATGCGGGGCAGCAGCACACCAGGCCCCGCTGCGGCCTGTCGTCTCCCCGAGCAGCTTCTCTCCCTCGGGGGGATGGGGAGGTCACCAAGCCCCTCACAAGACCCTGGGAGGATGTGCTCACCACACCAGCTGCCACCGTACCGGGCTCGGTCAGCCAAACCGTCACCCTTGACAAAACGCCTACTGCGTCGGTTAGGAGGCTGTTTACTCCCCATGAGGCCCCCAGAGCCGCACGAAGGGGCAGTGGGGCCTCAGGCCCCAGGTCAGTCCCGCACCCACTGCTGTGTGACTGGGGGACAGTCGGTCCCGGGCAGCCACCGAGGGGGTGAATGTGGACGCGCACCGGGAAGTGCCTGGGCACTCAGGCTCCATCACGCTCCGCGGGCCTCGCCCTCCCTGCTGGCCAGGGCTGCACGGCACGGGGTCGGCAGAACTCTCACCCAGAGACGCGGAGCCCGCTCTGGACCACAGTCACTGGCTCCTCCCAGGGCCACCCCTCCAGGCCCTTCCTCTGCCCTGGACTCGGACCCCGGGCCGAGGGGCTCAGCACAGATGTCCCCTCCTCAGAGAGGCCTTCCTGGACCCCCAGCCCCCAAAGTGACTCTTTTGCCCTTGAGCAGCAACCCTGCATCCTGGGCTTTGTCTGCCTTGTGCCCATGCTGGGCCGGCGGCCACCTGTGGGTCTCGCACTGCTCTGAGGCCCCCACACACCTAGACTGTGCCTGGCTGGGGTAGGGTGCCCAGACCAGCCTGGATCCTCCCTGCCCGACCGCTTCTCATCCCCAGGGCCCCTTGACGACACCCCCAGAGGGCCCACGGGCCCTGGGCCTCACCCAGCGGCAGGTCCGGCTCCAGCCCTGGGCCCGCTGGCACAAGTGGCACAAGTACCAGCTTCTGGACCATGTGCGCAGGTACCTCGGGGAGAAGGTGGCCTTCTACTTCGCCTGGCTCAGTGAATCTCGTGCCCACCGCCCCTCGGGGCCTCCTGGGCCCCTAGCTGCTAACAGGTGTCCCCAGGAAGGGAGCTGTGGCGGGGGCTCAGCCACCGGCCATGCCGACCCCTCCTAGGCCAGCACTCCCTGGCCGAGCCCTGCCCCTGCCCCACCCCCTGGCCCCATAAGGTAACCCAGCACTGGGACCGTTCTGGGGCACCCCCATGTGCTGGTCATGGACCGGGAACCCCCTTCTGCAAGCCAGGGCCCCCTTTTGACTCCAGCCCCCAGTGTCCCTGGCCCACCAGACATGTCCCGGGAAGCCCTGGGCCACCCCAGGAACTCCCAACCTGGCAGAGGTCGCCCCTGCCCGGGGTCCAGGGAGAGCCGCCCTCTCACCTCCAGGCAGGCTGGCACCCTGGGGATGGCTGTCTGCCCCGGACGGCCCCCCGTCCTCGCTTTCCTCACGGGCTCCCCACCCTGCCGCCCAGCACAGTCTCGCCCCCCCCACCCCCCGTCCTGCCCCAAAGATAGCGATGCGCCTGCCCTCAATCGCGCATGCGCACGTCTGTCAAGATGGCGAGCAGCGCCGGGGTGCTGTGCAGGGCGGCGGTTCCTGCCCTTGTGGAGTGTACCGGCCTCGGGTGACGCAAGGAGAGGCCACCCATAGCCTCTGGGGACCCGGATGCGGCGGGGGTGTGGCTGTGGCCAGGGCGCTGGCGCCCAAGGCACAGCCCACCTGTGAAGGACCTGAGGCTCCATCTGGGGCAGGGAGGGCCGGGGCCCCAGGAGGGCAAGGCCAGACCACAGGGCCATGGGGGGCACGACAGGTGGGGTCCTCGTCTCGGTCCTGGACAGACTTGCATTTTACAGAGGAAACTCTGGCTCACGCAGGGCAGACAGGACACCAGGCTGGGATGGATCTGGGCTTGACCCGTGAGAGGCAGACAGGGTGCACACTTGAGGGCTTGGGGGTACTGAGGGACCTGGCCACGGTGGGGTGGGGTGCAGAGCCGGAGGCATCCACAGTGACCCCCCAGTCACCCAGGACTGGAGTCCGGTGGGTGATGTGCCTCTCGAGGAGGGGACACCCATCCTGGGCATGCTGGTTGGAGGTGAATGGGGCTCAGGAAAGGGAGGTCCGGGAGGTGGGAGGCACAGTGGGCTGGAGCCCTGGGGGCTCAGGTGCCGAGGTCAACATGGGGGTAGTCCACAGTCCCGGGTGGGGCGAGGAGGGCAGAGCTGTGCCCAGAGCTGCCGGGGGTGTCCTCCCCGAGGACCGGTCCCCTCCCAGCTTCCTAGAAGGCCCCCACCCCTGCTGGCTGAATGTGGTCCCCAGAGGACGTGCGGCTGTGTAGACCCCCACCTGGGGCTCAGCCCTGGGTACCCAGGCCACCCACAGTCAACTCCCAGGGTTTCCCTGCCTGGGCCCGGCATCCCCCTGCAGGGCTCTACACAGGCTGGCTGGTGCCAGCGGCGTGGGGTGGGCCCACTGGTGCCCCTGGTGGGCTGTCTCATGGTGTCCTCAGACGCACCCACGTAGTGTCTTCTCCCCTCAGCTCCCAGGCCTGCCCCTTGCCTCCTGAGATGGGTGTGCAGTAAGAGGGACCCCCCAGGTGCCAGGCCCTGTGCAGAGCTGGGGATAGAGGTGAGCACTGAGCACATCCCTGCCTTAAGGATGTCATGGAGGGTCCTGCCTGCGATCTTGGCTGGAAGACTGGCAGGTGGACAGGTGCGCCCCCTGACAGGTGGATAGGTGTGCTCCCAGGTGGACACAGGTAGGCAGGGTGATCCCAGGTGGACATAGGTAGACAGGTGTGCTCCCAGACTGACAGGTGGACAGGTGTGATCGCAGGTTAATTTTATTGGCATTCGCCCTTGTTTCTTACAATAGTGTAAACTTTTCTTACAATAGATAAATAACTGGGCTTGGGTTTTATCCTACTATGGAGCTGAAATTTCAAGAAGTTATCTCCAAAATTATCATTGCATACATTTTTAAAAGAAATGCTGGGCCTGGCAAAGACAGTGTGGGGAAGGAGGGGGCAAGGGGGCGGGGCTGGGGGAGGGCCGCCTGCCCAGCCCCCACAGCTGCCCTCCCCGCCCAGAAGGCAGGAGCTGTGCCCGCTCTGCCTGGACTCTGCCCCTTCTGGCTGCTCCCCCGCGCCTGTGCGCTGGTCCAGGTAAGAGGGCAGGTGAGGGGAGGAAGGCAGCCCCCTGGGTCCTGGCCCCGCCCCACCCGTAAGCCCAGCTCGGTCACCACCTAAGGCAGAGCCCTCTGTGAGTTACGTAACCCGGGTGGCAAGGTCCCCACTGGGCTGGGACTGCAACTGGCGCCCCCCCCCTCCGCAGCACTCAGCAGGGTGCCTGCACCAGTAGACGTCCACCTGGAGCTTTCACTATTATCGTTGTCATTATGTGTGGCTGGCCGAGAAGGTCAACTGGCGACCCCCGAGCTCTCAGGCACAGCCGGACTGAGCAGAATTCAAGAGGCCGGGGCGAGGGGCCCCTTGGGGTCCCTGAGCCCTCTGGGTCCCGTCAGCCCGCACACTTCCAGGGTGTGTCAGCTTTTCCATGGGAACAGCGGCCTCACCGGCATGCCATACTCACTGGGCCTCGAGCCCTGGTGCCCAGGATGGACCCACAGACAGAGACACCTTTGACACACTGCTGGGAACCCATCTGTACCAGTTTCCTAGGACTGCTGGGGAAAATTACCACAAACGGGGGGTTTAAAACAACAAATTGCTCTTCTCCCAGTTTTGGAGGCCAGAGTCCAGTATGGAGGGTTGGCAGGGCTGGTTCCTTCTGGAGAACTGGCCCTGGGCCTCCGGCCTGGGTTCTGGGGGCCGCCAGGAATCCTCCTGTCCACTGGCTGAGGCTGCGTCTCTCCCATCTCTGCCTCTGTCTTCACGTGGCCTCTCCCTCTGTGCGTCGCTGTGTCTGTCTCCGCTTCTCTTACAGGGATTTGTCATTGGTTTTAGGCCGTCCCCCTAATCCAGGGTGCTCTCATTCGGAGATCCTTACCCTGACTACACATGCAAAGGCCTTTTTTCCAAGTAAGGCTATATTCTGAGGTTCCAGGTGGACGTATCTTATGGGGGCCACAGTTCCATCCACTACAGTCCACCCTCTGGCCCCCAAAATTTTATGTCCATCCCATGTGCAAAATACATTTACCCCCAACCCAGTGTCCCTGGAGTCTCGCCCACTGCAGCATCAACTCTAAGTCCAAAATCTCATCTAAATATCAACAATGCAAAAAGTCCCCAATCTCATCTAAATTATCTAAACTGGGTACAGGTGAGACTCTGGGTGTGGGCCCTCCTGGGGCAACCTTCCTCCCTCCCTGTGCACTAGGAAACGCGTCTCTGCCTCCAGAATACAATGATGGGCACACGCAGGACAGGTGTGGCCTTTCCTAAAGGGAGGGACAGGAGGGAGTAAAGGACCACCAGTCCCAAGCGCGTGTGAACCTCACGCCCCCGCCGCAGGCTAGCCGGCTCTCCGACCACGGCGGCACCGTCCTGGGGCTTCGACCACGGCGGCACCGTCCTGGGGCTGCTCCCACTACGAGGTGGGTCACCCCCGACAGAGGCCGCTCCCTGAGCACGCACTCCCGCTAAGCACCGGCTCCCCTCCAGGAGCGGCCGAGGCCCCAGTCTGCCGCCTCAGATCCCACAACAGCTGTGAACCCCGTCGCCAGTGAGAGTGAGCCCTACCTCCCCAAGAGAAGCCACCTGCGCCGTGCTGGCCGGCTCCACGGTGGTCACGGTGATGGTGACGGGTCCCCGCTGCCGTCCGCCCCCCGTCATGCCTCTTGCCCTCCTGAGCCTCATGGGGCAGCTGCGTCCCCCTTCCTGCCTTGGGGCTGGGGCCTGACGATTCCTCTGCGACCCACAAGACCCCCGACGTCCTCAGAAAGGCCCCCATGTACCTGGGTTCCAGGGAGGGGCCAAGTTAGGGGGTCTGCGATGTAAGAGGTGTGTGTCGGGCAGGGGGCTCTGGGAAAGTTTCCCCCAGGGCATCTTTCAAGCATGGCGGGGGAGGGGGCAATCCCAGCACAGGGGTCCACCTCACCCTGTCTTGTCTTCCAGTCAGAGGGGCTTCCTAATTGACCCCCTTAGATGTCAAGGAATTCCCAAGTAGGAGGGGAGAAGGAGGGATGGTTCTTGAGCACCTGGGGCTGACAACAGTGCACAGAGGCCCCTTTGATAGCCAGAGGTCACCCACCCTCTAGCTCTCCCTGCCTGCCCCCCCCGCCTGCCCCCCCTCCCTGCCTGCCCCCCCCCCCACTGCCCGGCAACCCCACTAAAAGGAGGCAGGAAGCACAGCCTGGCTGAGGGGCGGAAGCAGGGACGGAGCTGTGGGGGGGGCTGGGCTGCCCCACAGGTGGCCGTGATGGTCATGTGCCTGGGGTCCATCGTCCTGTACTGGGCCATCATGGCCATCCTGGTGTGTGTCCAGGTCAGACAACACCCTCCTCGCAGCCTGGGTGAGCTTCCACTGCTCCTGCTGGTGGGGTGGGGGTGGGGCTCTGATCCACCCCTCCGTCACCCTGCCATCTCCTATCAGGCGTCACGCGTCTCCAGCCTCATGGGGCCATGGTGAACCTTGTCTTCATCCTCAACCTCTCCAAGATCTACATGGCCCTGGCCCACGTCCTGACGAAATGGGGTGAGTGCCGAGGCCGGCTGGGTGCTGACCAGGAACCCAGCCCTGCTGGACCGAATCAGAACATGACTTTTGTCATATCTGAATGAGGCACGGGTGGGACGTGCCACATCCTCCCCCCAGGGTCCCTTACATGGCAGTGAGCAGGGCCTCTGTTTGGGGAGAGGGGGGCACCCCAGGCCTCGCCCCGCATCAGCAGGAATCCTTGCCCGTCTCTGCCTGCTTCTCCCCCCTTTCTCTGACCCCTTTCCATTTCCTAAGGACAAATCCATCCGTTCCACAAATTGCACAAGTTGCAGTCCTGGTCTAGGAGAGGGACAGAGGTCAGCAGCGCACAGCGAGGTAGGCTGGTGCGGGCCCAGAGTGCCGCGGAGAGAATGTGGGGTGGGCAGGCGGCCCGGGGAGAGGCTCCAGGTGGGGGTCCAGGGACAGGGCCCTGGGGGAGCCAGCGGTAACGTTCCTGCAACGGTACGGCTGTGTGTCCCCCTCCGGCCTCAGGATTTTCCTCCAACTCACCGTTTATGCTCCCACCTCCACCTCAGCACCTGCTTGCTGGACACCCTCTCCGCCCAGCCCCCCAGACCTGTGCCCCAGTCCGCTTTCCCGGGCCGCATCATGTTACTTTTTATTGTCACTTGCCCCAGCTCTTCCTTTACCGACATAACGCCTTTAGATGCTTTTGCAGTTAGAAATTCAGTAACGCCACACTTGGCCCCCTTCTTGAATGAATTTCTTTAAAAGACCCGGGCGACGCGGCCCTTTCCGCACTCCCTGCGCCAGTGAAGTGCTGACGACAGGCGCTCGCTGTGCCGCACAGACGCACCGGACCCAGACCACGTTCGAGGACACCTTCACCCTCAACGTGTTCATCTTCCAGTTCGTCAACTTCTCCTCACCCATCCACATCGCCTTCTTCAAGGGCAGGTCAGCGCGCGGCACCGGCAGCGCCCTGCCTGGCCACGCCCCCTGTCGCGCCCACAGCGACCACGCCCATCTGGACCCACCCACACCTTGACCCTAGGCCCCGCCCCCATCCGGCCACACCCACACCGCTCTCTGCCCCGCCGCGCCACGCACGGCCTGGCCGTCGGTCACGCCCTCACCCCGCCCACTGTGGGCTCTAGGCACTCGGGGAAGGCGGGGGCGGCGCAGGCGTCCGGCACGTGGTGCCCCTCGTGCTTCCGCCAGGTGGGCTGCAGGCGGCCGCGGGAGCAGAGGCATGGTTCGCCCCTAGGTTCGTGGGCTACCCGGGCAACTACCACACCTCGCCTGGGGTCCGCAGCGAGGAGGTGGGCGCGCGAGGACCCCGCCGTGTGGTGCTCCCTTCGCCTTCCGTCAGCCGCTCTTCTGCCCCCGCCCCTCCAACCCCTGCGCACCGCTCTGCCCCTTCCCAGACCCCACTCGGGACAGCCGCCCACGGAACACTCACAATCCACGTGTCCCCGTTGGCACCCGATTCACACCTGAGCCGAGCGCCAGTCACAGGGATGGACCGTGAGCCGCTGTCACGGCCACGAGCTCGGCTGGCACATTGTGGGTGCAGAGGCTGGCGACCCTCACGGGGCTTCTCCCCAAGGCGCCCCTCGCCCCACCCCCCAAGCACAAGCAGGCTCACCTGCATGGCCCAGCAGCTTTGAGAGCCAGGGTGAACCTGTTTTTCCAGAAAGTGGAAGCTGGTTTGTGCAGGATGAAGAATCACTGTAGGGTGGGTTCCCCCAGAGCGGACGCCCCGGCAAAGACCCGGATTCAAGTAACGGGTGTGGGTGTCACCCTGGGAAGCATGCAAGGGGCAGGGGCTGTGCAGAAGGAGGTGCACCCACGAGTACTTGAGGGGGGGGGGTCACCACTGTGGGCTTATGAGCTCAACCCTGCCCCACGCACGCCCTCTGAGACATTGTAGAAAATCCCTCAAAATGTGCCTGTGGTTCCTTACTGGCTGAGGGCCAAGCACACCCCGAAGCAGCATGAATGGGTGTCTTGAACAGTCCACAGGTGGCCTCTAGGCTGGGCCAAGGGGACCCGGGTGGGAGTCCAACAGCTCCCGTGGAGCACCTCACCTGAAAGACCGTCTTCTCCCTGATGGAGAACAGCAACTTCCCATGGGTCTGGGCCGTGACCCAACCCGACAGCTGCCTGCAAAGTGACTGACCCCCAAGGGACACTCTCCATTTTCGCATGAGAGGGGAGGGGTTTTCCAGGGACAGGGCAGATGGGACCACAACTCGGGGCATGACTGCACATGACACACAGCAGTCAGGCAGCTTTGTTATCGGTTATCAGTGGGAAAAGTTCCCAACTCAAAATGGTTTCAACAAAAAATGGAGTTTCACTGGCTCCTCTGTTGAAAATACAGGACTCTGTGAACTCAGGTATGGCTGGATCCAGGTGTTTCAACAATGTTGCACTGCTTTCCCAAGCATTGGCTGTGTCCTCAGGCAGGCTCTCCTCACCTGGTAGGGAAGACATGCTGCAGTGTGGGGCTGATATCCCAAGAGCACAGGACGACACCCTCTAGCTTAGTAGCCAGTGCAAGGCATGCTGTCCCACAAGCTCCCCATAAAAGCCCCAGGCCCACCTCTCACTGGCTTGATCAGGTCACTGATTGGTGAGGCCTGCCTGAATCTTGGGTCCTCCCTGGAGCCACAGGCTAGGGTCAACCCCATGTGGGTTCCCAAAAGAGCCCAGGGTTGCCGTATGGCCGTGCTTCTGGTGTTCCCGTGACAGTCCGCCCGCGGGACCTGGGGAAGACTGTGGGGGCTTGAATGAGGTCAGGAAGGGGGAGGGAGGGAAGGAGTGTCTCTGCAGTCCTCAAGGTGCCCCTGGCATGTCTGAAAGGGAGATGAGGGCATGGCAGGGGCCACCTTCGAGGCACAGAGAAGGATAGGCAGCCGTGAGGCTGGTCCCTCCCACAAGGTAATCTGGAGCCCTGATGCTGTAGTGTGCGGCTGGAGGCTGCCTCACTGAGTTGGCACAGGAGCTCCTGGTCATCACGGTGGGCAAGCAGATCATTTGCAACGTGCAGGAGATTCTGGTCCCGCGAGTCACCCACCCCAACCCGTCCCTGGGAAGCACCCAGGGACCGTGGGACCCGGAAGTGTCTGAGGCCACAGCCCCCAGTCCAGCCCCAGCTGGGAGAAGAGGTTGGGGGGAAGGCAGGCCCGGCCCCTCCTGGACCCCAGTGACTCCAGTGCTGTGTAGGGGGAGGGTCGGCCCCAGCCACCTGCCCCACAGGCTCTCTGCCACCTCCACCCCATGTAGTTGCAGCAGGTGCTTGAGTTCTCCTGCCCAGGGGCCAGCTTTGGAGGGGAGGAGGCCTGGGTTCCCGGGCCCTGCCCCATCCATGCCAGTCCATCCTGTCTGCAGCCCACTGTGGCTGGGCTGGGGGCGTTCTTAACGGGGACACTGGGGTCCCACCTCCCCAGTGCCACCCACTGGCAGCACTGGCGCCCCTCCCATGCAGAGCCCTTGCAATGGCCTGTCCAGGCATGGCCTCTTATCTGGCCCGAGGCTGGACTCAACCTGGACGCCCTCCAGCATCCCCACACACCCGATCTCCCTGTGATGGCCGCTCCCTGGCAACTCCCCCGGGCAACCGAAACCGTGGCTTCAGACCTTGGCCAAGCCACGTGCCCTCTGTGGGCGTGGCCCTGACTCTCAGGGCAGGTGGTGCCGGGAAGCTGAATTCAAGATTACAACAGGCAGGTGTAGCTGGGCTAGTGAGCGACACACACGCACACACACGTGCCCCACTGTCCTCATCCGCTCCCTCCCAGCCCTGACACAGCTCCCCGGAGGAATCAATGCCCCTAGATCTCCTACGAGTGATGCTGACTTGCCTGAGAGCTCTGCTGGGGAGCTTGGCACGCCCTCGCCGCCACCCCTGCTGCCGCAGGAGCGGAAGGCCTCACCCTCGCACTGCCCACCCTGTGGCCCCAGACCCTCCTCCCCCTGCTGCCCTTCGCTTGCAGAGCGACCAGGACCTGGCTTGGGAGGACGGGGCCATCGTCCTGGGGGTTTCTGTCTCCAGGGAGCTACGGGGCTGGTGGCAGAGGTCCCGGCTCTGCTCCAAGGAGAGGAAGGCAGGGCTGGCCAGGTGCCCTAGGAGGCAGGCAGACTACGAGCTTCTGCCCTTCCAGGGCCCCTTTGACGGGCACCTTGAGATGGGTAGGAGCCATGGCGGTGGCCACAGCCACCGTGCGCGGGGAGGGGCAGCCGCACTACTGAGAGGGCTTCCAGCCTCAGCATTCCTGTCTACATCTGCCTTGAAACATGATGTAGGGGTCCCTGATGGAGCCAGGCCTGCAAAGATCAGGAATTGTGGCGGCCAGAGTGGGGAGCGCCCAGGAAAGCCTGGCTGAGGGCAGCAGTGGCAGCATCCTGGGCACTGGGGTTTGGAAGAGGACCTGGGCAGTTGATGGGGCTCTCTTGGAGTGGCCTTAATCTCCCCCCGCCCTGGAAAGCCTGGGCCAGAGCCCCCCGTAGGAAATGAGAAGTGGGGTACTCAGGAGAGTCAGCCCTGGGGGTGAGGGCAAAGGCCCCCTGAGAGGTAAGGTTACACCTCTGGGGAGTTGATTTTCTCCAGACATTTTCTCAATGCCCGCACTCTCTGCTGGACCCTCCAGTGCCCTTGCCAGGTGGAGGCCTATGCCTGGGGCTCATTCCCTGCATGAGGTGACTGCAGTTTTTGAGGCCAGAGTCCGCATCTAATGCGGGCACTGGTCCCTGCAGCCAGGCCCTTCTCTTTGATGACAGGGGAGAGAATCATGGCACAATCTGAAGTGCTGCATCTGAGCCAACACATTGCTGTGAGCTCCCCGGCAGCTCTGAGCTCCCCGGCAGCCAAAGCAAAAGGGGTGGCAGTAGTGGCATCGTTCTGTGGGTAAAAGGGAGCAGAAGGCTCACAAGGGAGAAACATGGTTTTTCATGATAATGTGAGCCGGCTGACCTTGTGTCTCTACTCCACTGGACAAAAGGCAATGGGACCCCATGCTCTCCTTAGGAATTATACCTAAGAGCCAGGAACCCCTTTCAAGGAGCCCCTTCTTAGAATCAGCCCTAGAATCAGAGGCAGATTCTACTGCCACTCCTGCCAGGGTGAGCCAAGCAGTGGGGAGGACTGTTAAGAGTCCCTGACCTCAGGGAGATGGGGTGGCCCATGACCAGCCAGAAACGCATCCAACTCTGTGACAGCAGTCCGGGGAGGCTTCCTGAAGGAAGGAGCCCTGCAGCCGAGCCTGCGGGATGAGTACCATCAGGAGGAGCAGGAAAGGCCAGAGGCCGGGGCTGCTGTGCACAGTCAGGGGCTTCCCCTGAAAGGCGCAAGTGAAGGGTTTACGGTAGGCAGTGTCGGCCATCGGTCGCAGGCACGCGTGGCCCTTACCACCAGCTGCAACCGGGCGGGCGGGGGTCAGGGTTCGCGGGCCGTGGCTACCGGAGGGCCTGGCGGCGACCACCGACCCCCGCAGTGCTGCAGTCCGGCTTCATCACCGTCTTCGTGGCCGCCTGCCTCCTCGCGCCGCTCTTCGCCCTGCTCAACAACCGGGTGGAGATCCGCCTGCACGCGCGCAAGTTCGTCCGCGAGCGCCGGCGCCCCCTGGCCGAGCGCGCGCAAGGCATCGGCATCTGCTTCCCCAACTTGGCGGGCATCACCCGCCCGGCGGTCATCAGCAACGTGAGCGCGCGGGCCTGCCCGGGGTGTCCGCCGGGGAGAGCGGGGCCGGGCGGGGCGGGGCGGGGCGCGCGGCCCCGCCGGTCGCCCGGGCCTTCCTACTGGCCTTCTCGTCCGACTTCCCGCCGCGCGCCTACTACCAGTGGAGCCGCGCCCGCAACCTGCGCGGCTTCGTCACCTTCACGCTGGCGCGCGCCCCGCCCGCTTTAGCCGCCGCGCACAACCGCACGTGCAGGTGAGGCGGGGCGGGGCGGGGCGGGGCGGGGCGGGGCTCCCACCCGGAGGGGCCAGGCTGGGAGGGCCTCGCGCCCCTGGCTTCCCGCCTCCTTCCCGCCTCCGGAGCCCCGCCGGTCCGGTTGCTGCCCTGCGGGAGGGATCTTGATCACCAACCCCATTCCTTCCATGGATACAAGCTTCTTTTCTTTTTCTAGTTCTTCTTGAGTCAATTTTGGTATTTAGTATTTGTTTTTACGGAAAACTGTTTCAGTTAAGCTTTAGAATGTAACGACATGAACTTATATTCTCTTAAGACCTCATTTTGTAGTTATGGCCCCATTTTCTTTCCAGATATAGTACATGTATTTCCTCTTGAAAATCAATTTTCTGAGTTGAAACCTTAACTCGTTTCAGACTTCTTGGGTTTTAATAAACAAATTGTGTCTATAAATTTATTTGAACATACTTTTTATAAATTTATTTATTTTTGGCTGCTTTGGGTCTTTGTTGCTGTGCGTAGGCTTTCTCTAGTTGCGCCGAGCAGGGGCTACTCTTCGTTGCAGTGCACGGGCTTCTCATTGCAGTGGCTTCTCTTGTTGCGGAGCACGGGCTGTAGGCGTGCGGGCTTCAGTAGTTGTGGCTCGCGGGCTCCAGAGCACAGGCTCAGTAGTTGTGGCGCATGGGCTTAGTTGCTCCATGGCATGTGGGATCTTCCCGGACCAGGGCTCGAACCCGTCTCCCCTGCATTGGCAGGCAGATTCTTAACCACTGCACCACCAGGGAAGCCCCTGAACATACTTTTTAAAAGCTTCATTCCACTAGTGTTGATACTACTTCTATCCTTCACTTCTAAATATTTCATCACTTCAATTGTGATTTACCTATTTATCCATGAATCACTTAGGAAAGTAATTTCCCAAACACACAGAGTTTTGTTTTTGCTACTTTTAAAAAATCATTTGTGGTTTAACTGCACGGAGGTCAGAGAGCCTGAAGAGTTGACATGATGTAAACCTCACATTTGTTGAGTCTCCCTTTAGGATCTGCTGGTCACAATGGATTTTTGCATACGTTTCAAGTGAACCTAAACAGAATCTTTATTAATTTTGGAGCAAGGTTCTACATATACCCATTAGGTCAGGCTTCTAAGCTTTGTTGTTCAGATTTTAATTTTACTACTAGAAGAAAACAAAACACTTTTAGTCACTTGTTAATCACAACTCTGGTGTATTTTATTAACTTCTGTGGCTACAGTGTTTTCTTATGCATTGTCTTTCCTCTGAGTTCATTTTTCTTCTCCCTGAAGTTTATCCTTTAATAGGCACTTTTAGGAACGGTGTGGCTGGTGAACTCTTCAGTATGTTCATTTTGTCCTTCAAATGGCAGGTATAAAAATCTAGGTTAAGCATTATTTTCCCTCAGCTCTTTCTAAATATTTCTCTTTCGTGCACTGGCTTTTCTTGTTAGAAGCATTCGTTGCGTTTAAGACTTTTTCCTTTTCCTTCATTTGTGTCACTAACAGGCCTGTCACGGAAGGGCTTATTTAAGTTTCTGACCGAGACTCAGCAGGTGCTACCGATCTAGAGTGATGCCTTTCTTTAGTTCTGGAACAGCCGCATTCTATTCCTTCAGGCAGTGATTCTCCACACTCCCTGACCTTCTCTGCTGTTGGAGCATCTCCATTCCCCCATGTGTCTTGAGCACTCTCTCCTATTTGTCTGTCTTTCTGGGCCTCAGCACTGCGTAATTGTCTTCCAGCTCCCACGATGTGTCCCTTCTGTCGTGTCTCGTTTAGCCACTTAAAGTATAGCCCATTCTTTGGGGAATTTTTATTTTCAAGATTTTTGGCTTTTTTCTTTTCCGACAAAGTTGGCCCTGGTAATGCTGTTACCACAACACAGAAATACGGAGGACATGAAAGGACAGCAAGATGACCATTCAATCTGAACTAGCCAGCAAAGCCCAGTGTCGTGCTCAGGATAGCAAAGGAGCTGGCCGGGCAGCCTGTGTGGGGACATTCCCTGCTCCCAGTACCCTCGCTGGTAAGCCCAGCCGGTGAGGAGGAGGAGCTGAGAAGTGTGTTTGGCACCCTCAGCCCGGCTCCCCACTGAGCCCCATGTCTCCTGCAGGTATCGGGCTTTCGGGGGGATGATGGACATCATGCCCGGACCTACTGGAATCTTCTGGCTATCCACCTGGCCTTCATCATCGTGTGTGAGGCACCAGCATGGTGGGCCCCGCTCCCCACCTCCAGTACTTTGCCTAATCCCAGCACAAGGTATGCAGGGGTTGGCGTGACCAAGGGCGCTCACTGCTGTGTCACCTTGTTCAGATCACAGTCCTCTGCATCCCTTCCCTGCCTGGCCTCTGTCTCCAGTTGTGTGGACGTCAGAATGCCCTGGGCACTGCGGAGTGTCCCACGGAAGCCGGGGGGTGGTCTCTGTCGCTGTGGCCTCTGCCTCTTCCGGGAGGCACTTTTCTGCACTGATGCTTGCTGTCCGCTCAACCCACACCTGAGGAGCAGGTGCCCCACGAAGGCCACCCTGGGCACTTGTTTTGCCCGCAGCATGTGGTGTTCTCCATCGGCCGGGTCCTTGACCTCTTGGCGCATGACATCCCCGGATCTGTGGAGATCAAGGTGAAGCGGGAGTACTACCTGGCCAAGCAGGCGCTAGCCGAGGACGAGGTGAGCGCCCCAGCCCCCGGTGCTCTGCCGCTGTCCTGCTCCCCCTTCTCTGCCCTTTCCTGAAAACAGGTTCTTGGTGGAACAAACGGGGCGGAAGGACCAGCCCTCGGGCTCAGAGATGAATCTGGGCCCACAAGCCTAGGCTGCCAGGAGCCAGAGGCAAAGGGGTCGCCCTGAGAGCAGCCCCACCTGGAGGGCGGGGGGGAGATGTAGAGCTGTCAAAGGCTCACCACCCTCAGAGGCCACAGCCTGTCTCCTGGCGCCTCAGGCCTGCTGTGGCGCCCACGGCCGGCCAACTGCAGCGTGGTACCTGGAGCGCTGGGCATGCTGTGTCCGGGGGTATCAGGCAGCTCCTGCCCAGCCCCACGGACCAGTGCTGTCTCCTCACTCCCCTGGGGCAGGACGGCTCCGGTCCTTCCAGCCCCTGCCCCTTCCCCATCGCCTGGCAGGCATAGGAGGTGGCTTCTACCACGGGCTGCTCCATTCACACTTCCATCCCCCTCAGCCCTTCGGTGAGGCTCATCTCCTGTCCTCTGTCTTCTCTCCCGTGCTCCCTGCACGTGCTCTCCCTCAGATGGCGGTGTCCCCTCTCCAGACCAGCCCCGCCCCTTCCCACCCTGTCCACGCAGTGTCTTGCGAAACCTGCTGGGAGTCTGCCCACCACCCCCGCCCCGTCCCCACAAGGCCTGCAGGTCTGTCTTCTCATCTCGAGCCCCTTTCCCTTCCAGCCTGTCCACAGCCTCTGAGCCGCCCTTTCCTCTCCTCCTGTGGTACCACTTGACTCCCCCAGACGGTGCGCTCTGAGGAGTGGGCACCCCTTCTCTCCGGGCAGCGAGCGCCCAGATGGGGAAGGTTTGGAAGGAGACCGAACTTTATCCCCTGACCAGTGAATGCCTCGAGGAAAGGACACTCCTGCGATGCTCGGTGCATCTCCTTCAAGAAGTTCTGCCTGTCTGGGTGCACATGGTCCTCTTCAGAGCTGGGAGCTTAACGTTACCTGCAGTTCGACTTTGTCCACTGACTGGCTTCACAACCTCTCTCTGTGTTTACCTTCTCCTAGCTCGGATCACACAGCACCTCCCAACTTCGCCATCTGCTTACCGTTCTCTTGCTCTGCGGTTAGAAATCACACGGCATAAATGCCCGGAGACACTGCCCATCTTCGATTTCCTTAGGGGACGCTCCTCGAAGTGCACAGCAGTGTCAAAAAGGACACGTGGTTTTTAAAGCGCTTTGATGCACTGCACCACCGCCCAGCTTTTCCCCAGAACTGCCGTTTGACACCTTTATTTAAAAACCCACGGCTCTGGGCCTCGGGCAGCACTGAGCATTTCTTGACCAGTGGGGCTGAGGCTGTGGTGTGGCCACTGACATTTTTTTGGAACCTGCCATTTGCTTACCCACTGTTTAAAAAATGAGCCGTCCTTCCGCTTGTGGGTGGTGGGGCTGCACGCACCATGCCCTTGTCACCAAATCCACAAGTATTTTCTTGCAGATGGTTGCTTTGTTGTTGTTGTTAAATTTTAAAGTAAATTTATGGAAACATAAGAAATGCTAGGTCACACCTCGGGTTTTCACGAAGTGAACACACCAGTGTAACCAGCTTTTGAACGAAGACACAGCCCTGGTCACCAGGACGCGGTCCTGACAAGGACCTTCCCACACCACCCTCCTCCTCCCACCTAGAGTAGCCACCAACATGGCCTCCGTTGGAGGGACGGAACGATGGAACCCACAGGTGCGACCTTTTCCACGGGCCGCACAACCACGAGCCTTCCCTGCAGCGTTGTGCATGACTAGCCCACCCCGGCTGCTGTGTCAGCTCCCTGAATGAAGACGGCCACTGAGCCGTTCTGCCCAGCCGCTGGGGACAGCGCTGCCTTCAAACTTCGTCCACACCTCCTGGTGCCTGCTGGTGCCCCCGCAGGGTGCATGTTTAGGAGTGGGAAGTGCCGGGTCACTGTCCACCCCCAACAATGACGCCTCCCAGCGCTGTGGCTCTTGCGGGAACAGTTAACACAGGGCTGAGAACCCTATGCCAGCTGGGAGAACTACACCAAATACCTGTGGGTGTCCAGTTACCACTCAAGAGCATGCTGAAGACACCCCTGGTTTCACAAGACTGAGCACAAGGGCTTCCCTGGTGGCATGGTGGTTAAGAATCCACCTGCCAATGCAGGGGACACAGGTTCGAGCCCTGGTCTGGGAAGATCCCACATGCCGCGGCGCAACTAAGCCCGGGTGCCACACTTACTGAGCCCGTGTGCCACAACTACTGAAGCCCACGCACCTAGAGCCCTCGAGCCACAACCACTGAAGTCCACGTGCCTAGAGCCCGTGCTCCGCTACAAGAGAAGCCACCGCAATGAGAAGCCCACGCACCACAACAAAGAGCAGCCCCCGCTCGTCGCGACTAGAGAAAGCCTGCGTGCAGCAACGAAGACCCAACGCAGCCAAAAATAAAATAAATTAAAAACAAAATTCCACTATTTAAAAAAAAAAGAATGAGCACACGCGGGACGTGATAAAATGAGTCCCAGCACACTGTATCTGGTTTCGGGTTTTATTTTAGAATTTATAAAATTCCAGTGTCATCCATATTCATGAGCCTTTACACATGTTTGCATATAATCTCCAAATTTTAAAGTTAAGGCCAAGGGATGGATGGTAGCCATGGACACATATGATATGGAAGACGTTCAACAAGGAGGAGACGGACACACGCGCCCATTCCCGCCAGGCTCTCCCCGCAGCATCGGAGGCCGCAGGGGACAGGCCTGGGCACAGTCATCTCATCCCCTTTAACAACAACCAAAAACAGAGCGAGCGAGACCCCAAACAGAGTTTAGGAGAGGGGAGTTTGCATCTATGACGTTTAGCAGTAAATGCACGTGTGCAAAAATCTGTTGTGAGAATTAAAAATTTAACTCTGGGGAGGACAGGGCTGGATGCTGTAGGAAAGACAGAGGGAGGGGGAGGTGTGGGCAGACTCCTGGGGGGCCAGTGGGGAAGGCTCTGAAACTCATGCCGAAGAAGAGGGGATGGTCCTTCCCCTGCGAGGCTCCCAGAGGCGGGGGGGCCTTTCCTCCTGTCTCCCTGTTGCAATCAACCCCACCTCCTTCGGGGTCACGCAGCCCACCCAGCAGGAGCAAACGCCCCTCCTTTCCTCTCCCAGGTGGCCACGCCTCTGAATGGGCACACTTAAGGCCGCCGGAGCTAGTGGGGACTTGCAGAGGCGACCGCAGTTAGACTCGGGGTCTACTCAGGAACTGAAGAGTCAGAAGGGGTCCGAGCTCCAGTTAATAAATTGAGAGAAAAACTCTGGGAGTGGGGAGAAGGTGGTCAGAGCAGAGACGACTGTCCCCAGGGCACAGGGCAGCTCCTCTACGAGGCCCAGCATCTGGCAAGACAACTCAGAGTGGCCCGTCGCCTCCGTGGACATGGGGCCCCACCTTTCCCTCTTCAGGGTGGACCTTGACCAAGCCGGCTGGGGCCGGGGCACCCTGACCCGCCAAGGCCTGGGGTCCAACCGCGGGACTGACCTACCACACACCTGACAAAGAGGCCGCCAGCAGCACCGGGGCCTCTGGTCCCGGCCGAGCGGCAGCCTCTCTCTACCCCAGGGCCAAGAGGCCTGCCCTTCGAGCATGCATCAGCGGCCACCTGGGGGGGTGGCCCGTGTGCTCCCCGCTGGACGGGCCCACTGGCCACCGACCCAGTGGGTGAGGGACAGCACAGTCTTGAGCCGGGCACTCGGCTTCCAGCCCCCAAGGCCGCAGCAAACACACCCTGAAGCTCGGGACACCCCATACCAGCTCTGAGGTAGAAAGAGGCAACTAACTCAACAGGGGGCATCTGGGAAGGGGTGGGTGCGAGGGAGCGGAAGGTGGTGTAAAACCAAGTCAGCCAGCGTGCAAAGGGTGGGGCCTCCGCCCAGCAGGAGTGGGTGGTCTCCACCTCCCCGGCCAGCCCCCTCCTCTCCACCTGGCGTTCCTCAGGCCCCGCACTCACCAGGCTCACCAGACGCGGGGCCTGCGCCTGTGCGGTCCGGGGCAGAGACCCCGACGGGACACAGGGCAAGCCAGGGCCCCCCAAGAACCGCGTTTCCCTCCTGCCTCCCTGATCCCTCTGGCTCCACCATGGCTCTCCTTTGGGTCTGCGGGCGCCCAGTGTGCACACCGGGCCTCCCGACCTGCCCTGCCCTGGTCTGGGTAACTGGGCTTTTTGGCAGCTGGAAGAAGGCAGAGCACATTCTACAGGGAGGAGCATCTGGATGGCAGGCAGGCATGAGAGAGAGAGGGGGGTGGGAAAGGAAGAGGGCAAACGTTTTGGCTTTTATAAAGTCAAGGAAATTTATTTCCTGAGGTCATGACACAGGAAGTAGACTCGGCTGCACCTGCGGTGCTCTCCTGGCGGAGGCCAGAGCCTCGCTGACGTGCTGGGTGACACCGTCCTGTGACCTCCTTAGTGTTCACAAGAGTGGAGAGCCGCCCAGAGCGAAGGCTGGGAGCAGGCCCCGCGCTACGCTGGGTGCCACCAGGCCCGGGACCGGGCCACACACAGCGCGGGGTGCCGGCTTCGCTGTGAGACCTCGGGGAAGGGGAGCATCGACAATTTACGGAGGGTCCAGCCGCTGGGTCAGATTGAGACAAACCATCATGTGGTGGGTTCAGGTCAGCAGGCTGGAGAGGGTTCTGCTCTTTGATCATTATCGTTTGGGGCCCCATGGGAGGGTCTTGGGGGCCACCTGAGCCCCAAAGCTGGGAAACTCCTCGGAGCTGCTCATATCGGGAGCCTGTGGGGGGAGAGAGGGCTGGGCTTCAGTGACGAGGCCGCCCCCGCCCCCGCCCCCTAGCAGCTTCTGGAACGGCCGCCGAGGCGCACGCGCAGGGGCTGGACGGCTGAGCCTCACCTTCTCGCTGCTGCTGGCGGTCCAGGGCGCATCACGCACCACAAAGCCCCTGGACGGCGCCTTAGACTCCTCGTGGGGGGCAGGCTTCACGTACAGCTGCAGCGCCTCGCTGTCCACCACGTCGGCCAGCTGTGGGTGCAGGGGGGGGTGTCAGTTTGCAGCAGCGATGCCCGACGGGCACCCCTGCACCCGGCCCCAGGTGCCTGCCGCCCAGCCCGGACTCACGTATTCCTCCTCCAGGTTGAGGATGTGGTCGATGGCCTCCTCCACGTTCTCCGGGAGCCCTGTCACGGTCACGCAGTTGGGGTCTGGGGCCCCACTCTGTGGGAAGCGAATATCCACCTGGAAGGAGCACACACAGCAGCTAAGACGGCTCTGAGGGCCCCGTCGTGTGCGGCTGGGAACGGTCTGTTTCTAGTGAAGATCCCCCCTCGGGAGGACTGGGGCCCTGCGGGGCGCCTGGTGTTCAGAGCCGCATGTGCCCTCACAGATGCAGAGCCATCGGCCACCACAGGGCTGCCGCCTTCCGCAGGCCATGCAGGGCGCTGCCGACAGGGTCAACTACACACAGCTGTGACCCCACGCGACCTCTACCTGAGGGACAGAGACCTGAGCCTCGGAAGTCTCCCGATCCGGTTCCCGAGTGTGGTCAGCGACCCAGGCAGGAAGAGGTGAAGCCCCAGGTGGTCCCCGCTGCCCCCTCAACCGGCTCGTGGGGAAATAAGTGGCTCGATGGTGCACGGAGCACCCAGCCGCTCCCCCCTGCTGTGCTTTTCGGGCTCAACGCCCTTCACAATCAGGTCGGGGACTCACCTTGAATTCATCCATGATTTT